CGTTTTTGCATATCTTTCATTTCTGTCGGGTGCCCCGATAGCCCATCCCAAAACCTGTCGGGTGACGCAAGAACGAAATTTCGTTGTGTGCCGCTTGAAATTACATTTATTCGTATTTTATATGCGCAGTTTCCAGTTCTCAGTTTGCAGTTCACAGTTCTGATATGCACGAACACACACACACACACACACACACACACACACACACACACACACACACACACACACACACACACACACACACACACAGCAACACATGCACGCCTGCACGTCTGCCTGTGAGCATCAAGCTGTTTTGGTAAAGCTCACAGACTTACAGGACGAGGCAGCAAACGTTCAAAAGGGTAATGTAAAGCTGCATATGGTCTTTGTATTAATTGTCAATAAGGTCGAGATAAGGTAGTGTGCCCTTCGCTTATGTATCCAAGCATGGATCCCTGTACAGCAGAGTCAAAGGATAAAGAAGAAGAGGCAACGAAGTGAACGAATGCTACCACTACATTACATATTTCCATCCAGTTATATTTGTATGTATGTTGTTACAGGGTGGTTAACTTCGCCAGCGGCCCCCTTTCCCGGGACAGTCCCTGCTCTCCCCTGCTAGAGGGGCACCCTAATCCGTCACCCCATCCGACTTCAGAATGTATTCGTTGGGTTCGGCAACTCACCACCAGCATCCAACCAAATCTAGCGGATCAACGGCGCATCAACTTAGTTCCTGGTCAGCTCGCAAGTTGGTATTATCACGTCCTACACCGTCCATAAGATGGGGGGCCACCTCCCATTTCATCACTCCTCAAACACCCGAGGAGTTGGCAGGCGGATTTGAACCCGGGTCGACTGGGTCAACTGGGAGCAGAAGTCAGGCCTTAACCTCTGCCAGCCGCCTGCCTGTAATTGTATGAATGCCATTATGTATCGCTGTAGCTGTCCGTCGCCGAAGGGCCCACCGACGACCCATGGCACCCGATCAGGCGGTCCTAGCGCCCCTAACCCTGTCGGGCCCCCCGACGGGAGCCCTCCGGGCCCCGTCGGGGGCTCCCGATGGCCGTTTGGCATTTTCCCCCTTTTTCGTCGGGTCCGCCCGAAAGCATTTTTCAAAGCCTGTCGGGATTTTCAGCACAAGTGCCATTCCTGTCGGGACCCGATCGGACTGTCGCACCCTGCTGTACGCTGTGCGCGATGGTTCCGAAGGAAGGCCCTCCCCAAATTTTAATTTA